ATTATCATCAACAACAACAACAAAAACAAAACAGAAAAAAACTTTCATCATCAAAACAACAACAACCAACAACACAACTAAACAACAATTATCATCATCAACAAAACAACAACAAAAACCCTTATCTCAACAACAAAAACAAAAACAACATTATCATAAACAACAACAAAAACAACAACAACAAAAACATTACCCAAAAACAAAAACACAACAACTTTTACATCAACCAACAACAAAACAACAACAACTTATCATCAACAACAAAAACAACCACAGCAAAAACATTACTCATCAACAAGAAAAACAACAAAACTTTATCAACACAAAAAAAACAACAAAAAACATTACATCAACAACAACAACAACAACAACAACATTATATCATATCAACAACAACAACAAAACGCATTATCATCAAAAACAACAACAACAACAACAAAATTATATCATCTAAACAACAACAACAACAACGCTTATCATCAACAACAACAAAAACAACAACAACAACAGCTTTAACAACAACAAAAAACAACAACAACAACAAAAACATTTCATCCAACAAAACAACAACCACAGCAAAAAAATTTATCATCATAACAAAAACAACAACAAAAACATTATCATAAACAACAAAAACAAAAAACAAAAACATTATCATCATCATCAACAAAAAACAACAACACATTTCATCATCAACACAAAAAAAAACAACAAAAAAACAACAAAAAAATTTACACATAAACAACCAAAAACCCACCAAAAACATTATCATCAACAACAACAACAAAACAACAACATTATCATCATCATAAACAAAAACAACAACAACCCGCATTTCATCAACAAACAAAAACAAAAAAACAACAACAACAACAAAAAACAAAAAAACATTATATCTCAACAACAACAACAACCACAGCAAAAACTTTTCATCACAACAACAAAAAACAACATTACACAACAACAACAACAACAACAACAACATTATCTCATCAAAAAACAACAACAACAACAACAACATTATCTAAACAAAAACAACAAACAACAAATTATCACATCAAAAACAAAAACAACCACAGCAACAACTTTATCATCAACAACAACAACACAACAACAACATTATCTCAACAACAACACAACAACAAAAAACTTTATCACATCAACAACAACAAAACAACAACAACTTTATCATCATCAACAACAACAACAACAACAAAAATTATATAAACAACAACATTATCATAAACAAAACAACAACACAAAAACAACAACAACATTCATCAACAAAACAACAAAAACAACAACATTATCATCAACAAACAACAACAAAAAACAACAACAACATTACATCATAAACAAAACAACAACAACAACATTACATCATCAACAACAAAAACAAAAACAACATTATCTCATCAACAACAACGGTAATCTGCACATCTCTTTTTCCGATTTAATTTCCGTAATGATTATAATCTGAAAGCCTTTTCACCTCTCTCCATTCTTTCCTCTCTCTCTCTTTCTCTCTCTCTCTTTTCCCCCTCTCCCCCCCTCTCTCTCTCTCTCTCTCTCTCTCTCTCTCTCTCTCTCTCTCTCTCTCTCTCTCTCTCTCTGTCCCTACATGTTGTAAGCTATTAAATCTTCCTCACATATTTCTACGAACTTTATAATTCAGCAAAAAAGGTCTTTAACTTTTCACAAAATGGTCGCTGATGTTGGTAATAAAAATCACGTCTCCCTTTCCTATATGTATTTTTTTTTTGCCTTGAATGAAAAAGGGAATATTTTAGCTTGTTTGATCTTTAGAAATCTTTACAAATACTGCTAGTGTATATATAGTGAGTGTACTGGGTGCTGGTGTACCAGGATATATATATATATATATATATAATATAATATATATATATATATATATATATATATATATATATATATATATATATATATATATATATATATATATATAATATATATATATATATAAAATATATATATATTAACAAGTCGGCCGTCTCCCACCGAGGCAGGGTGACCCAAAAAGAAAATACTTTCATCATCATTCAACACTTTCACCTCACTCACACTTTATCACTGTTTTTGCAGAGGTGCTCAGAATACAACAGTTTAGAAGCATATACGTATAAAGATACACAACATATCCCTCCAAACTGCTAATATCCCGAACCCCTCCTTTAAAGTGCAGGCATTGTACTTCCCATTTCCAGGACTCAAGTCCGACTATATGAAAATAACCGGTTTCCCTGAATCCCTTCACTAAATATTATCCTGCTCCACACTCCAACAGCTCGTCAGGTCCCAAATACCATTCGTCTCCATTCACTCCTAACACGCTCACGCACGCTTAATGGAAGTCCAAGCCCTTCGCCCACAAAACCTCCTTTACCCCCTCCCTCCAACCTTTCCGTGGACGACCCCGCCTTCCTTCCCCTACAGATTTATGCGCTCTCCAAGTCATTCTACTTTGATCCATTCCTTCTAAATGACCAAACCACCTCAACAATCCCTCTTCAGCCCTCTGACTAATATTTTTATTAACTCCACACCTTCTCCTAATTTTCACACTCCGAATTTTCTGCATAATATTTACACCACACATTGCTCTTAGACAGGACATCTCCACTGCCTCCAACCGTCTCCTCACTGCAGCATTTACAACCCAAGCTTCACACCCATATGAAAGTGTTGGTACCACTATTTTTTCATACATTCCCTTCTTTGCCTCCATAGATAACGTTTTTTGTCTCCACATACCTCAACTCACCACTCACCTTTTTTCCTTCATCAATTCTATAGTTAACCTCATCCTTCATAAATCCATTTGCTGAAAAGTCAACTCCCAAATATCTGAAAACATTCACTTCTTCCATACTCTTTCTCTCCAATTTGATATCCAATTTTTCTCTATCTAAATCATTTGATATCCTCCTCACCATACTCTTTTCTATGTTCACTTTCAACTTTCTACCTTTACACACACTCCCAAACTCGTCCACTAACCTTTGCAATCTTTCTTTATAATCTCTCATAAGCACAGTATCATTAGCAAAAAGTAACTGTGTCAATTCCCATTTTGTATTTGATTCCCCATAATTTAATCCCATCCCTCTCCCGAACACCCTAGCATTTACTTCTTTTACAACCCCATCTATAAATACATTAAACAACATGGTGACATTACACATCCCTGTCTAAAACCCACCTTTACCGTGAAGTAGTCTCCCTCTCTTCTACACACCCTAACCTGAGCCTCACTATCCTCATAAAAAACTCTTTACAGCATTTAATAACTTACCACCTATTCCATACAATTGCAACATCTGCCACATTGCTCCTAACCACTCTATCATATGCCTTTTCTAAATCCATAAATGCAATTAATACTTCCCAACCTTTTCTAAGTACTGTTCACATATATGCTTCAATGTAAACACTTGATCTACACATCCCCTACCCACTCTAAACCTCCTTGCTCATCCGCAATCCTACATTCTGTCTTACCTCTAATTCTATCAATAATAACCCTACCATGCACTTTTCCTGGTATACTCAGTAAACTTATTCCTCTATAATTTTTAGTCTCTTTTGTCCCTCTTTCCTTTATATAAAGGAAATATACATGTTCTCTGCCAGTCCCTAGGTACCTTCCCACATTTATTAAACAAAAATACCAACCACTCTAACACTATATCAACCCCTGCTTTTAACATTTCTATCATGATTCCGTCAGTTCCAGCTGCTTTTCCCCCTTTCATTCTACGTAATGCCTCACACACCACCCCTACACTCACATCCTGTTCTTCTTCACTCCTAAAAGATGGTATACCTCCCTGGCCAGTGCATGAAATTACCGCCTCCCTTTCTTCGTCGACATTTAAAAGCTCCTCAGATTATTCTTGCCATCTACACAATACCTCCATCTCCCCATTTACTAACCTCCCCGCTCTGTTTTTAACTGACAAATCCTTTCGTTCCCTAGGCTTTCTTAACTTGTTTAACTCACTCCAAATTTTTTTCTTACTTTCATCAAAATTTCTTGACAGTGACTCTTCCACTCTATCCTCTGCTCTCCTTTTACACTCTCTAACCACTCTCTTCACCTTTCTTTTACTCTCCATATACTCTGCTCTTCTTATAACACTTCTGCTTTGTAAAAACCTCTCATAAGCTACCTTTTTCTCTTTTATCACACCCTTTACTTCATCATTCCACCAATCACTCCTCTTTCCTCCTGCACCCACCCTCCTATAACCACAAACTTCTGCCCCACATTCTAATACTGCATTTTTAAAACTATTCCAACCCTCTTCAACCCCCCCATTACTCATACCTGCACCAGTCCACCTTTCTGCCAATAGTTGCTTATATCTCACTCGAACTTCCTCCTCCCTTAGTTTATACACTTTCACCTCTTGCTTGTTGTTGCCATTTTCCTCTTTTCCCATCTACCTCTTACTCTAACTGTAGCTACAACTAAATAATGATCCGATATATCAGTTGCCCCTCTATAAACATGTACATCCTGGAGCCTACCCATCAACCTTTTATCCACCAATACATAATCTAACAAACTACTTTCATTACGTGCTACATCATACCTTGTATATTTATTTATCCTCTTTTTCATAAAATATGTATTACTTATTACCAAATCTCTTTCTACACATAGCTCAGTTAAGGCTCCCCATTTTCATTTACCCCTGGCACCCCAAATTTACCTACTACTACAAATTTATCCACTAATACTAATATATACATATATATATATATATATATATATATATATATATATATATATATATATATATATTATATATATATATATATATATATTTATATATTATATATATATATATATATATATATATATATATATATATATATTATATATATATATATGTATATATATATAATGTAGCTTCTTCAGTCAGAGGAGAGTTAAATACAAACACTTTTACAGATGTTTATTAAATAACGGTATTTACAGATACATTAAGATTCTCCTGAGGAGTTAACAAGTTAAGAATAATGAGTATGAGTTAAAAATAATAATCGTGGAGCTTGGTCGTTAAATGAAGTGAAATTTGATGCCTTGTGATGTTGGGGGGTCAGACAAGTCATGCACAACACGAAGCAACACGACCAGGTGGGTCTCAACATTTGCAACACGACCAGGTGGGTCTCAACATTTGCAACACGACCAGGTGGGTCTCAACGCTTGCAACATGACTAGCTGGGACTAATACTTTGCGATGCCTCAAGAAAGTTTGGTTTACCGCCCATAGCCACCACCTCCAAAGCCACCACCTCCAAAGCCACCACCGCCAAAGCCACCTCCTCCAAAGCCACCTCCTCCATGGCTACCACCTACAAAACCACCTTTTCCAAAGCCTCCTCCTCCAAAGCCACCTCCTCCAAAGCCACCTCCTCCATGGCCACCACCTACAAAACCACCTTTCCCAAAGCCACCTCCTCCAAATCCACTCCCCCCATAGCCTCCGCCGCCGCCTAAGCCACCACCTCCGAAGCCGCCACCCCCAAAACCACCACCTCCGAAGCCGCCGCCGTAGCCACCACCGCCAAAACCATTGCCTCCAAAACCACCGCCTCCAAAACCACCGCCTCCAAAACCACCGCCGCCAAAACCACCTCCGCCAAAACCACCTCCGCCAAATCCGCCACCTCCGTAGCCGCCGCCACCACCGTAGCCTCCACCGCCATAGCCACCGTATTTGACAGGTACTTGTATCACATGAATGGGTTGAAGAATATAACCACCACCTTTCTTGCCAAACTTTTTCTTCTTGCCGGGGTCAGGTCTGGCGAAGACAGCCGTCAGGGCCAGCAGAAGCACCAGCAGCAGCAGCCACGTCTGTAGCAAGAAAAACATCTTATTCCACTACTAAATCAATATCTTAATACGTCTCGCCCGTGTGTTGAATCATTCTATCTAATGATTATAATCCTGACCATGATTTTTAAAGGGATGGAGGGGTAAGCCAGTGGAAGGCCTCGGTCAGATGACCAAAAGCTGTAGCTGCGGGTCATCATATGACTAAGACCCACGTCAGGAAACACTTGTCCTGTTTCCTGACAAACCTCACCTAACCTCGCCCGTGTGGGTCATCGCATGGGCATCATCAGATATTCATTCACACATTCTGTATCACTCTGTTTATCATTTTTTTAGATTACCTCACACTTTCTTCCGTGCACAAATTATCTTTGTTCATCCACCTATCTCACTTCCTTCCTTATGTATGTTAACATAGATCCTCAGCCTTTCAGACTTCACATTCACACTTATTAAATTGCTACACTATACATAGCCGCATCTCTATTTTACATTGTCAGCTACACACGACAGAGCACCACCGGTGCTCTCTCACCCTCTGTGTCACCTCTTAGTGATATCCTTTACATCTTAATCACTATGGGCATTAACACTTATGAGCACATAAGTCACTCTTCATACCACATAAATAATCACTCAACCCTGTTGTTCTCTCTTTGCCCTAACTGAAACGCCACTATCAGTTTGCATACCTCTTTATCAATCTTTTTGACACTCCTTTTTGGCACATCAGTCGTTTCCTACCATAGCAGTGTGGCCCAAAGTAAGGAATACATTCACCATCCCTCGTTACCTCTCTTGCCAATAGTGAGTCGACGTCGAAATTCATATGACCATTTGAACTGCAGGATACTGTGCAAAACATTACGATAATGAGTGTCTTATGGGTGGTAGTTTCTCATGTGTTACTCTGTTTGATGTCTTGTACGTCAGTATACGTACAATCACCATTGTAAAAGACTGTCATAACATTATTTTCGTGCTACACTGGGAGCTCATGAAAAAGATAAAATGTGAATATTTCTCTTTGATTCTTGAGGATGACAGTAAAGACGTTTTTTCTTGAAATACAATTATTATCAACGTTTCGGTGAAACATTGATAAGAAATTAATTTTATAAGAAGAAGAAAGTTTTTCCTGTTACTCTCAAGTATTATGTTGGACCTTTTAAGTTCTGTCTGCCTTTCATTTATGTTCTTTTTCTGAAAATCGAGAATTTAACTCACAAACTTCATGCTGGAGTCGAGGTGAGGGTAGCAACGCTTGTTGGCTTCTAACCAGAGTTTTGCACAATATATACCATCAAAACAGGTTCCAGATGCCTCCAGAGGCAGCATGTCTGCAAGTGCGTCTTGCAAGTGCTAGTTCGTGCAGGTGTGACCCTTATCTACGCTCACCTTACCTGTGTCAGTTCCTCCGTCAGGAAGTGAGAGGTCTCCGCACCGAACGACCGGCGTGAAGCAGGTCGGCGGCCGTGACACCCACTCATCCGCAGATAAACCCAAAAAAGGAATGACAAAAAAAAATCCAACTTCCACTCATTTTCCTATTTCTAAAGTGTATGATTGCAATAACTAATGCTTATATCGTTGAGAGGCATCATAAAATTTTTAAGTCATAGATCATAATCCATCTGTTAAGCCAATTATGTAAGAAAAATATATAAAATAAAACAGAAACGGTGAGAAGGGTGACTCCTGAGGTACGCCAAGTGTTACTTAAAACTATGCTGAAGCGTTTGTGTCAAGGAACTCTCATTGTTCACTTCAAGGTTGTCACTTTTCAAGCCATCGTATTACACAACCGTTCAAGCTGCGCCCTCTACCTTTTTATGTCATTTCTATCAAAATTTATTTTGAAATTTTGAGCTATAAGTCTTCTGTCTTCTGTGAGTTTTAAGACTGACCTGCCCTAGGTCCGAGTTCCACCCGTTCTGTGATTTAAAATTCTGGTGTGAAGACTTGTAATAAATTAACAATTACTGTTATCACGTACTATATATTATATAAGGGATGGTCTGGGACTCTTCTATAGCACTGGCCTCCAGTTTTATGTCAAGGAACCACACGACCATAGAACCGTTTTTGTGGAATCCCCACGATTTTTTTTTTCGTAAGAAGCTTAGGTTAGGTTAAGTTTGTCAGGAAACGGGTCAAGTATTTCCTATTAGTAACTAAAAATAAGAATGTTTGAGTAATAACAAAAATGTTGGCGAGGAACTGGCTAGGCTATACTGGACTAATAGTACATGCGTGTTAAGTAATATGATAAAACAAATACTTGCTAAAAATATCGGAGACGCTTCACTAGCCAGTCAAGTGGGTTGTTGTCGGGCCTCTGGACGGCCACGACTGACCTCTCGCTCTGCTCTCACACCTGACCCCCTCCTTCCAGTCCCACATCTGACCCCTCCTTCCAGTCCCACACCTGACCCCTCGCTCCAGCCCCACACCTGACCCCTCGTTCCAGTCCCACACCTGACCCCTCGTTCCAGCCCCATACCTGACCCCTCGTTCCAGACCCACACATGACCCCTTGCTCCAGCCCCACACATGACCCTCCGCTCCAAAACCCTCCCACACCTGACCCTTGCAACCTGACCTAGACACATGCAACACCAATCTCCGCTCCACTACACTTCAACTGATGGAATGTGAATGGGCGTGTTTGTTTGTCTTTGTATAACCCGTATCTGTCGGTACTGTCTTGCAACCACATCCTTCACTATCACCATCACTCTCTGGCTTCACCGTCACTGTCTGGCTTCACCATCACTGCCGGCTACACCATCACTGCCGGCTTCGCCATCACTACAGCTTCATTATCACTGCTGGCTATACCGTCACTGCTGGCTTCACCATGACTGCTGGCTACACCATCACTGCCGGCTTCACCATCACTATGGTGTTCACTATCAATATCACATTCACTATCGTCAAAATCGCTTAAATAACTACAGAAGCTAAACCTGGAGTATGCCTGGAGAGGGTTTCGGAGGTCAACGCCCCCGCGGCCCGGTCTGAGACCAGGCCTCAATCATCTCACCACGAAATCACGAGGTGACTAGAAGCTGAATGATCGCAGTGCTGAGACTACAGTCTAAAGATCGTGGGTTCGATCCCCGGATTGTGCAATCCAAAGATAATTTAAGGCAGGGAATACATTTATCCTGCGATGTTTCACTATGAGTGAAACGTAGCAAAATATATGATTTTTGGCCTCTACAGAGCCTTGCAATTACAATTTAGTTTAGGTAAACTTAGGTTAGGTGGTTTAAAATTAGGTTATGTCAGGTATTCCTTAAAAAACGTTTAACAGTAAATAAGTACGTAACTATTCTGGCAGCGAGAAGGCTGAACGTAACCTCCGTCTGACAACGAGATAGCTGAACGTAACCTCCGTCTGACAACGAGATAGCTGAACGTAACCTCCGTCTGACAACGAGATAGCTGAACGTAACCTCCGTCTGACAACGAGATAGCTGAACGTAACACTCCGTCTGACAACGAGATAGCTGAACGTAACCTCCGTCTGACAACGAGATAGCTGAACGTAACCTCCGTCTGACAACGAGATAGCTGAACGTAACCTCCGTCTGACAACGAGATAGCTGAACGTAACCTCCGTCTGACAACGAGATAGCTGAACGTAACCTCCGTCTGACAACGAGATAGCTGAACGTAACCTCCGTCTGACAACGAGATAGCTGAACGTAACCTCCGTCTGACAACGATATAGCTGAACGCAACCTCCGTCTGACAACGAGATAGCTGAACGTAACCAGCTTCTGACACCGAGATGACCAAACGTGACCAGTATCTGACAGCGAGATGGGTGAATGTAAACAGCGTTCGACAACTAATTTGGCTGAACGTAATCGGCACCTGAAAACGTTCAAATATATGCCATTATCAGTGGCGTTGAGTCTCTCTTAGCTTGTATAAAAGCATTTCTGCGAGAGATATAAAAAAATGGCTTCCACCGTTGCTAGAGATTGGATAAAATTGTGTTCATCAGACGGGCGCATATTTTATCAGCATTATTGAGTTATGTTACAAAATTTGGGATTTCTCTTTTCATTCCCAAATTATCACGTATTTCGCGGTAATATTTTTTTTTTTTTCATTCGTTCAGTCGTTTTCCTGATTGTTGTCATGACTGTGGAAAGTCTGGGAGCGGCATCGTGAGTTGGTTTAGGTTAGGTAAGGTTCGTCAGAAACCAGGACAAGTGTGCTTCCTGACGCGGTCTTTTATGATGACCCATATCTGGAGCTTTTGGTCATCTGACCGAGGCCTTTCACTGGCTTACTCCTCCACCCCTTTAAAAGAGGTGGTCTGAGGGTTTGTGTCATGGCTCATGCTGAATGACCGGGGAAATATACGTGAACCAAGCGACTTTGAACGGAGGATCGAGTCTCCATCACTCCTGGTTTTAAATGAACCAGGCGGGTTTAGCCCTTCGCATCAATACATAAGAGAATCAAGCAAAATCTTTTGGCCTTCATCTCTGCCATCTATTCCTTTCTCCTGTTTCATATATTTCTCACGATTGTTTCGTCAATTTGTTGTTAGTAATTACTATCTCCTGCCTTGCTTCACTCTCTTAGTAATGACTTCCTAATTCTTCTCATCTCTCATGTTTATTGTGGAGACAACACTCCACTAAATTCTCCTTGTAGAAGTTACTACAGCACACTCTACTAAACTTCTTGTAGAGGTTACCACAGAACACTAAACTAAACTTCTTGTAGAGGTTACCACAGAACACTAAACTAAACTTCTTGTAGAGGTTACCACAGAACACTAAACTAAACTTCTTATAGAGGTTACCACAGAACACTAAACTAAACTTCTTATAGAGGTTACCACAGAACACTAAACTAAACTTCTTGTAGAGGTTACCACAGGAACACTAAACTAAACTTCTTGTAGAGGTTACCACAGAACACTAAACTAAACTTCTTGTAGAGGTTACCACAGAACACTAAACTAAACTTCTTGTAGAGGTTACCACAGAACACTAAACTAAACTTCTTGTAGAGGTTACCACAGAACACTAAACTAAACTTCTTGTAGAGGTTACCACAGAACACTAAACTAAACTTCTTGTAGAGGTTACCACAGAACACTAAACTAAACTTCTTGTAGAGGTTACCACAGAACACTAAACTAAACTTCTTGTAGAGGTTACCACAGAACACTAAACTAAACTTCTTGTAGAGGTTACCACAGAACACTAAACTAAACTTCTTGTAGAGGTTACCACAGAACACTAAACTAAACTTCTTATAGAGGTTACCACAGAACACTAAACTAAACTTCTTGTAGAGGTTACCACAGAACACTAAACTAAACTTCTTGTAGAGGTTACCACAGAACACTAAACTAAACTTCTTGTAGAGGTTACCACAGAACACTAAACTAAACTTCTTGTAGAGGTTACCACAGAACACTAAACTAAACTTCTTGTAGAGGTTACCACAGAACACTAAACTAAACTTCTTGTAGAGGTTACCACAGAACACTAAACTAAACTTCTTGTAGAGGTTACCACAGAACACTAAACTAAACTTCTTGTAGAGGTTACCACAGAACACTAAACTAAACTTCTTGTAGAGGTTACCACAGAACACTAAACTAAACTTCTTTAGAGGTTACCACAGAACACTAAACTAAACTTCTTGTAGAGGTTACCACAGAACACTAAACTAAACTTCTTGTAGAGGTTACCACAGAACACTAAACTAAACTTCTTGTAGAGGTTACCACAGAACACTAAACTAAACTTCTTGTAGAGGTTACCACAGAACACTAAACTAAACTTCTTGTAGAGGTTACCACAGAACACTAAACTAAACTTCTTGTAGAGGTTACCACAGAACACTAAACTAAACTTCTTGTAGAGGTTACCACAGAACACTAAACTAAACTTCTTGTAGAGGTTACCACAGAACACTAAACTTAACTTCTGTTAGATGTTACCATGTAACAATAAACTAAACTCTTAGAGTACCACCAGAACAACTAAACTAAATATCTTAGAGGTTACCACAGAACACCCAAACTAACTCTTAGAGTTACCACAGAACACTAAACTAACTTCATAGAGGTACCACAGAACCTAAACAACACTGAGAGGTACCACAGAACACTAAACTAACTCTCTCAGAGTAACCACCAGAACACTAAACAAACCTTGTAGACGTTACCACAGAACACTAAAAAACCTCAATTACCACAAAATAAATCAACTCCC